ACAGTGCTGCACAGTGCACTCATGCTAGTCCTGAACTCATTTCCTCCCTGAGTACTTCAGCAGCTCTTTGGCAACATCCCGTCAGAACAGCAGCAGCGTTTATATCTATTGGTCGTTTAATCATCACTCCTCCTCACCAGTGGCACTTGGTCTTCGATTCTCAATTTCCTGAAGGGTTTATGTTGAATTCTATTATTTATTTTTTAACCTACCTCACATATGTAATGTATCGTTTGCTGTTATATCTGGATTCTTCCAATATTTTAGAAAATGTTAGATTTTGTAGTACAGCCTTGTCAGGGTTATCCATAAGCATGCATAAAATATTTTGTTGCATTTCTGACACACCTTTCTCACAAAGGTAATGTCCATATGCAAAAGTGACTGTCTTCTGCTAACTGACAGAAGGGCACTCCATGTCCTTCATAAATTTCACCATATGGCTTATCTTTGAATTGGGCATTTCGTTTCCTGCTGGGATTAAGCTGTTTATCCCCTTTATCTCTCTTTTGCTTGAGTCCTGCTATATGCAAAGCACATAATGTGCATAATGAACAGGTAATTTCTCCTCTTTTATTGCCCTTCTGGCTGTCTGATGTTCTGCCGATGCAGGCTGATTATTTTGTGTAGTGGCTGCATTAACGAGACACACAAACTCCACCTATGAGTTGGTGAAAATGCAGGAATGGCGAGAAGGGAGACGATCACAGGAACGTTTCTGTAGCTACAGTGTCTTGTACTTTCCCTGCAGGATATGATCGATCCGACGTCCTTAAAGGAAATGCTGGAGGGAATCAGGTGAGGTGACGCCTTTGGAAAGCCTGTCAGATTGCTGGGGACAGACTTGGACAGACAGCTGCTTATTATAAAGCTGCTCTGCCTCGTTATAGAGTTTTAAGCTCTGCATGCATTTTTAATCGTATTTTTAAGTTAGAGAGCGTTTGTCCCATGGGGTCTTTCTGCCTGTCCTGTTGATATGACCGATTATACAGCTGGATATTTTAACTTAAGCGGCTTCGGGTTTCAAATCCTGCCTCAGGGCCCATTAGCTGCCCCCCGTCTGGGAGTTTTCCTGTCTGTTTATTTTTACCCATGGTTCTTTTCAGGGAAACGGCAGAGATTCCGCTTTCCGTCAGATCTTTGAAGTAAGTGGTTGTTTCCCTGCGTCAGTGTCCTTCTGAAGGAGCTGGTTGCCGCGCGACACTAAAGCCGCTCTGCTGTTTCTGTTTGTGCTTCCCGCCAGGTTCCTCATGCTGGAGCGACAGGCGATGGAGAATTTCGTCAGCATTCACAAGCAGCAGCCCATCCGCAGACAGGTGTGACCTCACAGGGCCTGAATCCGCTCTCCGCGGGTTTTTTATTGTGTTTTAAAAATAATCCCCATGTGGCCAGATAGCATGTTTGTATGATGAAGAAGATGAGAAAATGATGGACGAATGAGCAGGCTCGCCCACTGAGACGGCCGCGCTCGCCCACTGATATAGCCACGCTGTGCACCCAGACGGTCATCACGTGCATCAGTACTCTGAAGAAGAACATGGCGGAAGAGGATGCCGTCAGCTGCCTGGTGATTGGTACAGAGAGCGGGGACATGTACGTCCTGGACCCTGAGGCCTTCACCATCCTGTCCAAGGTAAGTCGCACCCTTGACGTGTCATTTGTTGTTCCACCAGGTCGTCTTTGAACATGCCCCTTCACCTGTTGGTCATCATTTAAAATTGCACACACCTATGGAGATAAATTTACATTTAGTTGCACTTAAATGTTATGACAGTATTGTAATTTAATGTAATTTACATATGATTATTTTAGACGTAAGTCTACTTCCATAGGCACCATTTCAGAAACATTGTTTCAGTATTCCCCTTTTCCCTGGTGCCTCAGATGTCCCTGCCCAGTGTTCCCACCCTGATGGATGTCACAGGCCAGTTCGACGTGGAGTTTCGCATTACGGTAGCTTGTCGGAACGGTAACATCTACGTCCTTCGCAGGTGTGTGTTCTGCGGAATATGCCGAGGTGACAATCAACCATCACTCATCCGTTAGCTTCTAGTTTCAAACAAACTAGCATTTTGCCACATTCACCATCTTTTACTTCCAGAAAGTGTTACTGGTGACATTGTACTTTGTAGTTAATTGTCTTGGTTTGGCTAATTTTTATTTGAACCAACATTTCAGTAGAGAGATGTAAGAAACTCAGTCATGGTTACAGGAAGCGACTGATTTCAGCCGTTGTTTCCAGAGGGTGTGCTGCCAAATGCTAAGCCGATGTTGTGCCCTGTTTAGCCTCGCATTTGGTGCTGTAACACGTTTCAGCTGCTTGCAGGGATTCCTCCAGGCCCCGGTACTGCATCGAGCTGACGTCCCACCCCGTGGGTCTGGTGCGAATCGGCAAGAACGTGGTGGTGGGCACCGCTGACGAAACGCTGCTTGGCTACACACAGAAGGTACACAGAAGAGCTTTCTCTGCATCCCTTCCGTTAGGATGACACCTGCTCTTCTGTTCTTACTAACAGTTGTTTTATTTACCGTACTTTGCAGAAGTCTTAGGCAGCCAAAGAAAATGATCTTTGAATGACCTTCATGCTGGTGTAAAACTATGTTGTTATGCCTGTTAAAGTTTGTGCGCTTGGCCATTTCAAATCTTCAGCTAACATCACCTCAGTACTGTCCCATAAAGTATTTTCTGACTTGACCACTAGCATTACCTTATCAATAAAAATATTTCTTTAAACTAATTTAATTAATTAATTAAGGGAGCTGGTGGTGAAATGTAACAAATAAACGGAATGACTGCGGTGCCCCTGAGTAGAAGTTTGGGACCTGAAGCGGAGTTCATCTGGCCATCCAGCAAGATGCCAGTGACTTTTTGGGACCTGAAGCGGAGTTCATCTGGCCATTCAGCAAGATGCCAGTGACTTTTTGGAGAACCGCAGAAAGTCTTATTAGCTCATATTGTGTTATTCTTAATTTGCACATGTTCTAATGCTAAATTGTGTCGTTTATTCCGAACAAAAGTGGACTAACTACCCAGACAAATAGGTTTGAACATTTATTTTGACTGCCTAAGACTTTTGCACAGTACTGTATATTATTTTATTTTGTATTGGTGTCCTTGATCTACCATTCTTACAATTACATTCTACATAATCATTTGTAATAAACTGTCATGAATATTAAAGCATAACCAAGTGATGTATTTGAGAAGTTGAAACATAAACTCATTATTTGACCCAATACTGCCATCTTGTGTCAAGGGGAAGAAACTGTGGATGGTGAATCTTCCCGCCCCTGTGGTAACCATGGCTACGATGGACCACCACACGCGAGGCTTCCAGGCTGTCCTGGTGGGGCTCGCCAACTGCCAGGTGCAGCTGTACCGGGACAAGAACCTCGTCAGCACCATCAAGACTCCGGTAGGACCCGGGGGGAGACATGCCTGCCGGGAGGGGGGCGGACATGTTTTTAGTCATCAGCAAAGACGGGCATTTCCCGTATCTCTAGGATGTGGTGACCAGCATCTGCTTCGGGAGGTATGGCAGAGAAGACGGCACTCTCATCATGACCACCAAAGGTACCGGAGCCCAGCAAGACTACCTGTGTACAGTCTGCTATGTACTCCAGTCTAAGTAATCTTCAGATAGAGCTAAAAGAGTAATTATGTAATGCAAAAGGACATCCCATATGCATTTTTGGGAAACAGATTGAATCCCAGTGTTGGGGTGAATAGCATATATGTA